GAGCAGCTTGATTGATACTGTTATACATGTGTGAAATAGCAGCGCTGCCAGTTATTTTCACCACAGGCGGTGGAGTTGGTAGAATGAGCGGAAGGTGGGCTATAATTTTCTGTAAGCAGAACGCTACTCAGAATTCAGAAAAGGTTGTTACGACGCAGCCTGTCAACCAGGGTGAGGCGCTGACAGCTTGGATTCATTAAATATGTGCATGACAAAAAAAAAAAGGGTACCAGATCATATTTTAGCTGCAGACAAAGCGTCCATTTTGAAGAGAGAAATGAGCTTTTCCTTTGTTTTTGTCACCGCTGTGCCTTATTAAGACACAACACCGACTCCCAGCATCCTTCAGTTTGGACTTATCTATATCATTATATATATATGTATATATATATGTATATATATATGTATATATATATGTATATATATATGTATATATATATATAAATGTCATTATAAAATAAGCATGAGTCACGAGGTGAAACACGGCAGGGTTGAAGAGCAGAAAAAAACAAAAGCTCTGACATTTTCAAAAAAGTACCTGGAGCACCAATTTACAGGTTTTTCTTTTTTAATTAATTGCTCATTTAAGTGAGTCTCCAACATGTGGAGCCAATCCGCCGCCTCTAAGTCTCTGCTCTTGATTAGGAGGGATTTACAGATCGGACGTAACAACAAAAAGGGAACGGAAATGAACTCATAGAATCTTCCAGAACCACACACTTATTTCTTTGTTTATTTTTTTGCACCTAAATAGCAAACATAATTCTCATCCCTGGGACGGCAGCGAGCACTTCCTCTGTAGGTGATGTTTATAAAAGGCGCTCATTATTAACCATAATATACAGCACACGACCCAGAAGCTGAAGGAAGCGGCCTTATCTGGTGTCGCTGCCACGTGTGTAGCGCGTTAGCGTGTGTGTGTGTCGTTTATCTTTGTTAGCTCGTGACAGCGTAGGGATGTTGAGGAATCTGAAACTGCACCGTTAACCAAAATGTGCCCAGGCAGCATAATCAAAGCCCCTCGGAGGGTATATAACACAATATCACTCTGTCAGGGTGGACGTAACGCAGTTAGAGCGCTGCGGAGATGGCAACGCAGCAGAGGCCAAACACGGCAGCGACGCGTCGGACAGATGGGCACGCCGACACACACACCGACACACACACAGGCAAAATGATCATCTACAGGTGGACCGGTGTCAGGTTTCACTCTGGTGCAGTAACTTTACACCTTGGTGACTCCAACGTCAGCGGCCGCTTCATTAGGAACACCACATCTTGCCGTTCCCACCTCTGAGCCGCGGGGACCAGAGGATGCTGGGAATTATTTATGCTCTCTTCAGAAAGGAAACCGAGGCGTTAACGGCGGAAATCCTGTTCCTTAGAAGAGTACCTGGAACCGATGATCGTGAGACTTTGGAGTAAATATTCTCACGTTTTTAAAATGATCAACTGTAGGGGCGTGGCCTGTGCTGGTGCAGCGGTGTTCCCCCGACCCTCCAGTTTTGGTTAATTATTCACTGTGAATATTTGTTTGTCTCCGTGTGTGTGGGTCTGTGATGGACCTCGCCCCCACCTGGAGACCGCTGGGATTGGCCCCCTGTGTCGGCCTATCCAGGAGGATTAAATATTTGCATCCTCAGTTTGTTGAACATGGACTTGTGTTCAGGTTTTTTTTACATTTCTGTATAAAGTCCCAGCAGAAGAAGTGCACAGATAAATGGGAGGTGTTTCCTCAGCCGTGACTTCACCTAAAAACACACGTCGTTACCTCCAGTAGAAGGAGAAGTAGGAGAGTCAATGTATTTACAGCAGGTAAACAGGAGGGGGGGCTGGAGAGGAGGGGTGAAGATGGAGGAGGAAAAAAGACAGAGAGAGAGAGAGAGAGAAGAAGAGGCGGGAGGATGGGGGAGACAGGGTGACAGGAGGAGGGCGGTTCCATCATCAGGGGACGGTGAGATTTGATCTGATGTTTGACGGCTGCTGGTCACAGAGCGACATGGAGGTCAGAGGTCACGATGCTCAGATCGTTATCTCCGCAGTCTGAAGTCCGTCTTTCTAGATGTTGTGAAGAGAGGGTGTAGGGGAGGAGATGACGACGGTTGATGGAGGAGTGGAGGTGACGAGGGGGTGGCAGATGATCTCCTGTGGCGCCCCCTGGAGGCAGCAGCTGAGAGACAAGTGTGACAGCCAGCAGAGTTTGGTCGGAACTTCACTTAAAATGGTTTTCATTAAAGAACTTACAGTAATTACTCACCCCTCTGTTCGAGGGGGAGGGAAAAAAAGCTGCTCTGTCACAGAACAGTGACACCTAAGTAATTAGTGACAACAGAACTGTATATGTTTCCAAAATTACTTTCACCAAATGTCGTGCTGGGGAGTGGGTGCAGATGGTGACACCTAGACAGAACAAGAAGAAGAAGAAGAAGAAAAAAAGTCTGTTACAATCTGTTAGAGCAGAATAACAACCACAGTAAAGGAGGAAGAGGTCGGAACGCTGGAGGAAGAGGTCGGAACGTTGGATGAAGAGGCTGGAACGTTGGAGGAAGAGGCAGGAATGTTGGAGGAAGAGGCAGGAGGACGGAACGCTGGAGGAAGAGGCAAGAACGTTGGATGATGAGGCAGGAACGTTGGAGGAAGAGGCTGGAACGTTGGATGAAGAGTCAGGAACGTTGGGTGAAGAGGCCGGAACGTTGGGTGAAGAGGAATGTTGGAGGAAGAGGCTGGAACGTTGGATGAAGAGGCAGGAACGTTGGATGAAGAGGCTGGAACACTGGAGGAAGAGGAACGTTGGATGAAGAGGAATGTTGGAGGAAGAGGCTGGAACGTTGGATGAAGAGGCAGGAACTTTGGGTGAAGAGGCCGGAACTTTGGATGAAGAAGAACTCTTGATGATGAGGCAGGAATGTTGGATGAAGAGGCCGGAACGCTGAAGGAAGAGGCAGGAACGCTGGATGAAGAAGAACTCTGGATGAAGAGGCAGGAACGTTGTATCTAACAGACGGCAGGAATGTTGGATGAAGAGGGATGTTGGATGAAGAGGCAGGAACGTTGTATCTAACAGACGGCAGGAACATGCAGATTTTCTGGGAGAATCATTTTATTCCTCAGGGATTGGTCCCTGACTTCAGATCCGTGCTGGTTCCTGCTCCTCGCTCTTCAGTCTAGTGGCGACTGCAGGTCTGACCCACTTCTCTGTGGAAAATACTTCCTGCTCCACGGAACGATCTTCCTATGAAAAGATCCCCTTCTTCCTACTCGACAAGGTCAAAGGTCGTCGTTTATTTCTGGAGAATCGTTGAATGTAAACCACAAGACAAAAAAAAAAAAAAAAACAATCATGCAAATGTGTGAGGGTCCATCTGCTGTTGGGTGGAGGTGATGACGGTCCGTGAATTAAAACAGCGTTTGTGCTGCGGTGTTGGAGCCACGGCTGTTGTTGGTGTTTGTTCTGGGTGTTGATGGTTTACATTTAACAGCCTGTGGGAAGACAACGTTTCTGTTTGTGTTGTCCTTTGTCTCAGCTGAAGGGGGGGAGAGTGGAGGGAGGAGGGCCGGGGCGGGGGCGAACACCACCAGAGTGGGCGGTGTAGTTAGGTGGAGCGATGTCTCTGGAGTTCTGTCTTTTGGTCGTGGCCCTTTTTTTTTGTACTTCATACAATATGGATTTTTCTTAAGTCAATACAATTTTTTTTTTATTTATGACCTACAGTATATATGACCTTTTGACATGTGACCTGAGAACAGGTAGTGCGGTGACGTAAATATTCCGTATCATTTTTTTTCCACCAGTCTGAGAAACAGAGGTCGTGTTTTTTCCGACCAACTCCAGGCTGTAGTTCACGATCAGAGCTGGAGGTGGAACCAGAACGTCCCGCTGTGGGACTGGATAAAACCAGTATTAATGGGATTATCCAGTGACCCACGACCCACTGCATTTATCCCAGCGGCCCACTTTTGGGTCACAAACCACCACTTCAGGAACAACGTGTTAAAGGATCAGTTTGACTCCAACTTGTTTCTATAAAAAGGACATGAGTTTTGGAGTTTGATTAATGTTAATGATGTTGACGATTACAGAGTTTGTTCGGTGTCATTGCTAATTTTTTCTTTATTTTTTCTTCATTTTTGCTGCGCCTAAATGCAAATATTAGATTAGCGTTAAATGTCAGCGTGGATCAATATTGTCCTGTTTGTTTCGCAGCTTCATTCGTCTTCCGTGACGACAGTTTGGTCTTTAAAGAATCACAACGACACGACGGGATTTCTGATAAAAGATGAAGGTCAAACATTTATCTAACGTCACAACATCAACACTGACGTCTGTGGTCGGTGCTGGTACTTCATCTACCGTCCGAAAAAAAAAATTGAGATTGAAAGTTTGCTTTGCAACTTAACTTCTTCAAAATATCTTTACAAATCTAACGCAACATTACTGTAATGAGAAAACTTTTTTTAACTTGGCCCTTTTGAAAAAGTAGAATAAAAACATGAAACTTTTTTAACTTGGTCCTTTTGAAAAAGTAGAATAAAAACATGTTTTTTTAGCCCAGTGATTTTGAGTCACACCAGCCGTCCAGGCCTGACTCACTGTTGTGAAGTTAGACTGACACGGTCATGTTGCATGACATTGGCTGCAATATTTTGAGCATGATCAGAATCAGAAAATGCTGTTTTTGAACCTATTATTGGGACACATATTGGGACATATATATATGTACATGTATGTACATATATATTTTCAACATTTCATATTCTTTATTCAAATCTCATGACAAAATACTTTTTTTTTCTTTTGCTCGTGTATTTGTGAACATACTTTTTGGGAACTTTTGGTCTAAAGTTTCGCTGCTGGCTGTTTGCTTTCTTATCGCATGACCTGTAGTTGCCAACAGTTGGACAACTATGTTGACTTGGACTGTGGAACCTTACCACCCCCCCCCCCCCCCTGACTCTGGATTAGCTCACAGTAAATATTGGCACGTTGGGCTGAGATTTGGACTTTTACGTGGTTGAAGTTGCTCGTGTTGCTCTTCAGAAACACGATGATGATGAAGAGGAGGAGGAGGCGTGTGTGACACGTGATGTGATGAACCAGTGTGTGTGTGAGACCCCGGCGGTCGTCACTCAGCAGATGGACCGACGGGTCGCGGTGATGAATGGGCCGCGGTGCGACGCCTGAGTCTGTGGACGACCACCAGAGGAATCTCTAACTCTTTTATTCCACACATTCTTCTAAACTGTAATAAAATCGTCCGTCTTAATATCTCTGGGACCTCCAGGAGGCGCTCAGGTAAGAGTTCTCAATGAAATACAGCTGCACCATTTGGAACAAATACGAGGACGATGTCTCTTTGAAGACGGCTTCATCAGACTCAGGACAGGTTTTTTTTTTCTTCTCTTCTTCCTGTCGCGTCACAACAGACGGCAGATTTACCTGAAAGTAATTGATCGGTGAGTGACACGTCAGGCCCGCCGTAAATCAGGAGGTTTTTGAGCAGCTGCCCGACCGTCCATCCGTCATCCTGATCTCTGTCGTACCACGTCACACTGAGAGGTAGAACAGGCTGCAGCCCAGAGGACGGGGGTGGGGTTGGGGTGGTGGTGGTGGTGCACGACGTGGGCCTGTTGTTTGATTCCATTCTCTCGGTGTCTGCTGTCCACGCCCACGGACGACAACGTTCACGTTCATTTGTTGTTGTACGCATTAGAAGCGGGCGCTAATGCTGCTGCGCTAAATCAATCTCCTCCTCGCCCGAGGCTGCGGCGTCTACAAAGGCGTTTGTGGGCCGCGTCCTACCTTCACGCCGCACTGTCAGCATTCATCAGGTCTTAGTGCGGCTCGTCTGATCCCGGCCAAGAAGCTGTTACCACAGATTAACCCGGGCTTCTCTGTTGTGTGGCAGCTGACCTGTATGTGTGTGTGTGTGTGTGTGTGTGTGTGTGAGATTCAGGTTTTTCTATACTTGTTGGGATGTTTTTTTTGAGCAGGATCGTTGTGGAGACACGTGGTCTGGTCCCAGATTTAGTCGAGGGTCAGGATAAGAGTTATGGTCATCTTAGAGTTAGAGTGAAGCAGGCGTCCCCCAACCTCCGGGGCGGAGACCTGCCATGGTTCATTTGATTTTTGGTCCGTACCAAAGGAATACTTTTAGTTTCCATTTTTAAAATGTTCTTTATCGTCTGCACGGCATTTAAAACAAAAAAAAATCTTTTTGACTCAACGACTGCAATTTTTTTTCTTTCATGCAGATTTTAGCAAAACTGAAATGTCACTGCAGAGCATCTGTAAAAGGTTGTGAAGTGAGACGTTCTGCACTGACGGCAAACAAATCAGGATCAACAGAGTGGATCTGGATGTTAGGAACACGCTTCAGGTTTCACTGTCTCCTGTCAGCCACTAGGGGCAGGGAAACCAGACTGACACTGAGACTGTGATATGTTGACTTGTAGTATACTAGATTAAAAATATATATATATATGTATACATGTATTTATATAGACATATATATATTTGTAAATATATGTATAAATATATATGCATATATTTATACATATATTTACAAATATATACATATGTTTATGTATGTGCATATGGATACACATATGCATATATTTGGTTGGCAAATATGCTGTATATATGTTATAGTTAAGGTGAGCATAGGGGGCAGCAGTGAGCTCTGAGATGTGGTCACAAAAGTCGTTCTCTCTGCGTTTGCATTTGCGTGTGCGTTTGCGCTACATCTTTACGACCTTCCCTGGTAAACGGTGACCTTGTGAGAACCCGCGGTCTCCGTGGACGACGGCGCCGTCCTAATGAGGCAGAACCTGGTTTCTGAGGCTCCACTAAGATTAGAATCAGCAGGTGAACCGTGTTCAGGCTAAGGTGAGGGGAGAACCTTTGTTTGGAGGACGGAAAAGTCGATCCGCCGTCCTAACAAGGTTGGCTGCACACACACACACACACACACACACCTTTTGTCAGTGTGTGTACACGTGTGTCTGTTGTTTCTCTTCACTAACTGCCAATTTGTCTGGTGGAAGGAAAGCTTTTACAGACGCAGTCGTCCTCTCTGTGCACCTGGACGTTTAACTGTGATGAATATAACACACACACACACACACACACGCTCACACACGCTGTCTGCTGGATGAGCAGGCTGACCAATCAGAATGTGTCAAGAATCACAGATAACAATAAAAAGAAAAAATGGGACAGAAGAGGAAGATGAAGTAGATCAAACATGGGGGGCGTGGTCCGCGGCTTGGACGTCAAACTGTAGGTGTGAAAACCTCAGCTTTGTTTGTCTGCGTGACGTTAGTAGAAAATGTCGAGTCGTATATTTGCTGCTAAAGGAGCCATAAATATAATCAGCGGTTGTTATCATTTAACAGCAGTTTCATTTGCTCTGCAGCAGGTTTTTAACAATAACAGTGAAGGAAAGAAGAAGAAGAAGTGTGGATTAAAGAGGGGGGGCGGGGGTCAGCAGCTGTACACTAATTCACTCCTGGATAGAACCTGATAAGACACGGTCGTCTCTCTGTCCAACGAACACGGGAAAGAATTTACAACCTTTTTATGTTTCGCAGATTAAAGAGAAACAGACGATGAATACAACAACATCCAACCTCAGTGTAGAGGTCAGGGGTCACCAACTGTATTTGTTGAAGGCCCAGAATTTTCCTGGACAGACTCGTTGGGGCCGAACCTGGTATAAAGTGAAAAAAAAAATCACATTTTTGTTTAACCTTTTGTTTTGATGGGGTTTTTTTTGGAATGTAGTCGTGTGCCAGATTTGGCCCCCGGGCCACAGGTTGATGTTCAGTGGTGTGGAATGTAATATAGAAATAAGTGTATTGTGCAGAGTACACAGAGTACATGCAGTACTTTCTCACTTCTGTAGCAGGAAGTTGTAGGAAATCCAAACGTCGATCTGTAAGAGCTGGAGCTAAGAACGGTTTCCTGAGTTTGTGAAGTTGGTTTCCTGTTGGTGACGTGCGTGGACGGAGTCGGTGAATTGACTTTTACCACAGAAATACTTCTGTTTTTTACTCTTTTTTCAAAAGTGGCACCAGTTTTCTCAGTCTTTTCTTGTCCACCTTAAACCAGATGTTACAGTCGTGTTTGAGGTCTAGACTGAAGGACATCTGTCCTGGACTCTGGTCCTGGACTCTGGTCCTGGAGCCTGGACTGACAGACTGACAGGGGGCAGCAGAGTTCGTTCTCCTCCGTCTCCAGGTGTATCTTTTTCTCTCTGCGTCTGTGAAGCAGCTCATTATTGGTGGATCCAGACGCGGTGCGGCGTTCTTCCCTTGACCCTCGGCCCTGTTTTTCTTCTCTTTAACTCTCGCAGTCGTACAAACTTTTATGCTGCTGATTCTCTGCTGATTCTCTGCTGAAAAGGCCTTCAATACCAGAAGCGTTTTTAGAAGAAGAATAATAAAAAAAAAGACAAACATATAGACGTAATTCACTACATCAGAATTTGAAACTTGAATTAAAAACCACAGACGGTCTTTTCATCTCTTCTTCAGCCCCAGACGCTGCACTGAAGGCTGGGCCTCATCACTGGTGTCATTCACCTGATGAGACGGTGGTGCAGTGGGCGGGACGTCCAGAGGGTCAGAGAGTCCCTCCTGGTCATGTTTGGCCTGCGTTGATTTGTCTCATTGGTCTTAATGTGTCGTTGAAGACGTGACAAAGCTGCTGTTATAATGCTAACCATTAGCAACGGCTCATTGTTGTAGCAACGGTTTCCATGAATATTGATGAGGATTGTTTGGTTTGTTTAGAGATTGTTGCTCATCTGGGCTTTGATTAGGTTTGTTTAAAGATTGTTGCTCATCTGGGCTTTGATTATTGGAGTCAAAATAATAGTCGTCTTTCTCCTGTGGAGTCGGAGCTAAAATAATTAAGACAACAAAAATATTTAGTTTATTTATTATTTAGTCAAACATAAATGACCTTTGGTGATTAGTTTGACCTTTTATAATTCTGATATTAATTTAATCTATAATTCAATATCTTTGTGAAATAACTTTTATTTTGAAAAAATAACCTTTGATTCAGATGAACGTATTAATGTCAAGTGTTTGATAAACTGTTAACGACGATGATGAATCCACCATTAATCAGAGGAACTGTTTAAATCGTGAATATTATTATTATTAATTATTATTATTTTTCTTGGAGAATAATTTTTTTTATTGGACACGGAGACGTCTGATTGGTCAGAGATGTTGATTCTGTGACATGACTGTGTTTCTCTCTCAAACGTCTCCACCGCCGTCGCTCCACGCAGTCACTTCATCCTCCCTCACGCCTACAGAACATTTACGTTCACTTAATGAGCCCGCTGTGCACGCCGCCGTGTTTACGCTTGTAGCTACGACTGTGTAGGTAGCTACCTAATTACCTGGCTTGCTGGTTTGTGAAAATGTCAGCTGTTAGCGAACCTCCTGCCACGCAGAAAAAAATGGATTCTCTTGGTTTCCTTTGTCCGTTTAGTCGCAACGAGGCGCGGCCGCGGCCGCTTTACCCGTGCACGCCACGGTACACGGGGGCTTCAGATTGGTTGCTCAGCCTGTAGTCGGAGCCGCAGCGACGTATGTGTTCTATTTATCACACTTAGTCGTACAGGTGCAGTGAGAGAGGGTTTCTGTAAAAGCCTGTTTCAGTAAAAGCCTTTCCAACAAGACAAATTGGCAGTTGGGCGAGAAAAACAACCAGCACTAACCCCCCCAC